TAGGAGTGTCCCACCAGTGACCTGTCAGGACAGTTCATGCAAACTGTGGCCTGGCGTGTGACAGGCACTTCGTGGGTGTAGGTCAACTTGACCACACATGCAAAGTTGACCCTGTTGCAAGGTTGGCTTTAGCGAAGTTAATAGCAGCTCTGGTGGGACTGGAAACCGCTTTGTTGGATTAAACAAACCTGCCTATTTCAGCCTACCATGTTAGGATATAATTTAAAACTTTGAAACCAGAGAAGCAAAATTATCCCTTTTGGTTCTATTTCTTGTGCTGATCTCTGTTCTCAAATACTGGACTTGGACATCTCATACACCTGAAAATGCATTCTCTTTCCAAATGAATTAATGCTGCTTTTTTGAGTTTATTTTTTCCCTTGTCTATAGATATTTCCTTTTATTTCTATTATGTAATTGCTAGAATTATTTTTTTATTTAAAGTTGTACGTGCTGGTCTAACTCATGTATCTTAATCCAATAAAATCCTTTATCTTTTGTAGAGAGGAAGTTGCAAAGATATATGCACTAGGACTGTCCACTTCATCCGTTTTCTGTCTCTTCAAATGTAATACAAAATGACGTGAAGTGTTCTATCCCAATCTCAACAGTCAGTATCAAGGGAAAAGCTCACAGCACCGCAGTGTGATCACAGTGCGTGCCAACTCCACAGCCCAAAGGAAGAGATGATCCAGCAATGATTAAGACTTTTTCCTAGATTACTGTGCAGAAAAATATGCTCAGTGACAACTACTTTGTATTCAAATTCCAGAATGGGCATCTCACCAAGGTGAACAAATCTACTCCAAATGGACAGCTACTAGTATTTCAGGCATAAAAAGAGTGGGGTTTTTTTTTTGTTTTTTGGGTTTTTTTTGAGGCTGTCGTATCATTATTATTAGAAAGTAGTCCCTGAGAGTATGAGAAGTTCAAAATCTGCTACTGAGACGCTGTCTTGGTATTCATGGTGATGTGATAAAACATGAGCAACTAAAGGAAAAAAAGTGTTATTGCTGGTTTTAAGCCACTGTTCTTGTAATGCCTTGATGCCTTCACGAGAAGGAAGGTGCCCATTTGCTCACCTCTGTGTTTAGGAAGCATGCCTTAAAACGGTTTACGTGCTAAGTAGACTAAGACAGGAGGATGAAAACTATTGCCATGTCCATTTTGCAGAGGCAAGTTGGTAGAGGTAGAAGGGGTAAGTGAAGCACAAAAAGAGGTGAGGTGTAACAGCTTGGCTGAGCTGGAGGGTTTTGCTGTTTCCCACGATGAAACGCCGTTGTCCCAGCCAAGATACAAGTCTGTGGTAGAGCTGGGCTCCCAACACCATCTCCAGGTTCACAGGGGAAGCCCTTAATCCCCAAACCATCCTTTCTTTTCTCTTTCTATATGAAAATCTGGAGATCAATGTGATTTAAAAGGGGAAAAAATTGATAGTATTTAAAAAGCATGTACTAGTTAAACTAGTTTTAGTAGTGCATAGTGATTTTAATTCCATTGTAAGACAACAAGAGAACTTCTCTGACTCAGAAACAGGCTACTGTCTCACCAGCTTCCAGTTGTTCAAGTAGTGCTTTATTCAGTTTTTTATCTGCTTTATCAGAGAGAATTCTTGCTTGCCCTTAACTTATTGTTTCACTAATTTCCTTCAGAATATTAAGTTTCACTAATGCCAGTTCAAACCAACATCTCTCAGCAAGCAAACAAGCAAGGAGCAAATTAATGGGGGAAATACTTTTCCTTTTCTGCTGATACAATTTGATGTAGATTTTGAAAGTAAATCCTGTAAATAAGAGGGGAAAGTTACAGAGAGTACTACTTCAATCACCCTGAAGTCAGTTCTGCCTCTTAGGATATCGGGGAGCAGTTTGTGTGCATTGATGAAATCTCCTCTTATGCCACAAAAACCATTGCCAAAAAGAAAGCAGCAAATCGTAGTTTGAGAGTAGAAAGAACTGGAAAACAGAAGTCTGTAGAGAAAAGAAGGTAGAACCATGCAAAATTATTTATTATGGTTTAAATAATGCTACTCTCCTAAGGTTCGCTTTACTTTCACATTTGATAATTTTAAAGGGATCAATGTGGGTGTCAGCATGGAAATTATTTTTTGTGGTACTTAAGAAAGACTTATAACAAGTGGTTCTTTCTGAAATGTTCTGAGCAGAACAGTGTGTGCCCTCACAACATGCTTTTTCGATTATTCTAAACAGAAAATCTAAAACAGCGATCTAACATCTGCATTTATAGTAATTCCCATTTCATCTTGCAACTCAGGTTTGAAAATATTGATTGTAAGGGGAGAGTATTACGGTGCTTCATGAGATTCAAAATGAGCTTTTCAGGTCTTGTAGCAGAACCGTGCAAATACTTTAGGGGAGACTCCACCACCACTGCAAAAAAAGTAAACTAAAAGATGTGAGTTTGTTTCACAAGTGTCTACATTACAAAAAGGGGGGGAAAAAAACACCCCACAAACCTAAAACGTCCTTTCTGAATGATATTTATTTTTCTTTCACATTAGAAATGTTTTGTTTTAAGTGCGTATGTGTTTCCAATCACCATACCACCTCAGCAGTGTGTAATTTTTACTGTATTTATGCTTATGACTGCCAGTCAGAATAAGAAAAAGTATAGTTTCATCTCTTCCCAGATGGCAAACAAGGAAATGAGCCATTTGTTTGAAGGAAAAATCTATGGTAAAGCAAGAATCTGAACCTGGGTGTCATGCAAAGCAGTCCAGCATCCTAAGCGGGGACATCATTGTGCTGTGCTTGATAATAAGAAGTTTCAGCTTTCAGAATTCTCTGAGAGATGTTTTTGTCTTGCAACAGTCTGTTTTATTCTGCAGCTGCTTTTTAAACTTTACAACTTATTAACATCAATTGACTGTCAAATAAGTACCACTGTGGACTCATGAATAAACATAGTTATCATTTACATATTAACAGAGGGCCTTTAGCTGAAAAGAATCCGTTTGTGCTACTGCAATATCTTAATTATTTACTGTGTTATACTGTAATTGTACTTTACTCTCTCAAAACTCTATAGTATGTATATCTTACAGGGTTTGGAACCAATGCACTGATATTAAAGTGGTAATCAACACTGCTTCTAAATATTCATGCCAATAAATGACTCCCATGTGTTTGCTGAATGCCATGGATAGTCTGAAACATTTATTTAGCATTCTAGTGGGATCCAGTTTCTGCAAAGTTCACATAGATGCAGAATTTCAATATTGTTGCTGTTTTGCATGGGGAGAGGGAAAACATGTTTGAATTTGCACGAGCAGCGGGGCAGGACACTTAGAAGAACGCAGTGGTATCTGAGTCACAATCTGTGTTTAATAATGTCTGAGAGCACTGGGGAGTTGTCAGCTATTTTTTATTATAACAAAATTACAGTTTTGTTTAGTCTATGACAGCCTCCTCATAATTTCACTTTTTAATAAACATCTCCAATTTTCCAAATCATTTAAAAATCATTGCAATTCATGGGCGGGGTGCTCTGACTGCCACGCAGCTGGGGCTCCATCAAGGCACCGCTGTGGCAATCACAAATTCAGACGCATTTCTCAATAAATCAATTAAATACTATAACCCTAAAACTACCCCGCTTCAGTACTGCAATTGGCTGACAGAAATCTTCAGAAAAGCGTATTGAGTGTACAGAGGAACAACTGATTTATTGAGCTCCTGTCAGAATTTCAAAACAAGGAAATACTGTCTCGCAATCCAGTAAGTTTGTTTAATGAAATGTAAGTTAAGTGTAAACAGTCTTAAAATGTATGTGAGTTCAGGCTTTTGGATTAAGAGTAACTCGCATATCGTAAACTGTGCTTTCTTGTTTGAAGTACAGTTTCAAGAGCCCGTATAGGTGCCTCTTTCTGCAAACAAGTGTTTGAGCCTCCACTCCCTCCTGCCTCCGAGGGCAAACGGATCCCCAGACCCTTCTGATGCTCTTTCACAGCTTCCAAAAAAATAGTGGATTTACCTTCGGATGCTTGAGATGAAAATGAACTTGTTTTATATCAGGGGAACGGCAATACAAAGATTGCACGCAGTCATGATGGTGCTGAAAATGCAATCCAGATGTCCCGATCCCTGCTCCATGCTGGAGTGCAACTGGGATTTCTGTGTGCTCTGTCGTTGATGTCTTGTTTAGAAAATTCTCTTAAATACTTGTGTACGTACAAATACTTTGTCTATTGTGCTCACAGAGATACTTGATGAAACTGTTGACCATATTTCTAATTGCTCCAAGACCAATTCTTTTTTTTTAAGCTAAAACTTAATTATTCCTTATGAAAAGTTTAAAATACATATTAAAATATTTAGCTGTTTATAGGGAAAAAAATAGTTCAGCATGACTGTACTTTACGTTTAGTTTCCATGATGGTCTTAGATCACACGTGCAGTTCTACATGCGAATATTTGGCATGCTCAGCCTTAAGGGAAAAAGCGTTTCTGTTAGAGCCACCCTGCTGAGTGTGATCCCTGCACTGCAGGTCTGCTCTTCATGCAGGAGGTACTGGCTTTGAACATGGATATCTTAAACTGAAAATGGCCATGCAAAGCCCAAACCTGATTACCTGTACCTCATTTTAAAAAATAGTACAGCAGGATTGAGCATTAATAAGCGTTTATATTAGTGTTTAATGTAGTTATGCTATTATATGGAGAGGAAAAAGAGAAAATTCAAAACTATATCAGATGTCTCCTGGAACTGATGTGTACTGCATCACTATGCTTATCTTCCCAGGCAAGGTGGTCTCTGATGTGCAAAGTTGGAAGCGATGCAATTGCTTAAGGGCACGCCATGGCGTCTTGAAGACCTGGGTGTGAAATCCTACAGCGCCGTGCTGCCTCTCGATGTTTGTTCGCGCTGAGCTGCGGCTAAAGAGCTGCTACACCACAAACACTTCTCTTTGTAGCTGCTTGCTCCTTCCAAGCAGGGCCCAGATGGGTTTGGACTCAGCCAACTCTGTTTTCCTTTTTCAGAATCACCCAGCGCTGCTGCAGTTTGTAATACAAGCTGAAAGTAAACATCTAGTCATCAGCCTGGAGAGGAACGAGTAAGTACCCTTGTTGCATGTTCGCTTTGTAATGGAGGTTCTCAGAGAAGGATTATAATTTTAAAATTGATGGTTTAAAAGTAACCTGGGGCCAAGTTTGCTACTGGTCCCTTACGGAACAGGCCCCTAACGAGAGGTTTGTTCCAGTTTGGATTGTGTGTATTTGCACACTGCTTATAGAGCAAGAATGATGGGATGCTTGTACTGTTCACGAGGCCCGTGACCAAAGCTGAGCTTGAGACCTTATTTGTGGGCTGTAAATACTGCACTTTCTTCTATGTGCTCTTGACAGCTCCTGCTCATGTCCATAAGCTTTCAGAGCGGGATACCAGGGGCTGCTGTAGAGACAGTCCCATGGGCAGAAACCCAGCAGGGTTTTTCACAAAGGGGTACAGAACCACACAGAAATAAAGTCACTTCTCTGGAAGTCCATGACAAGCGGAACCAAAGTCATCAAAGTCTTAGTCTACCTTTTCAACTGTTCAACCGCTTTTCCTCTAAGAGCATCTCGATAATTTGTTGTGGGAATCCAGATCAGGACAGCTATGTCAAGCTGCTTGTCAAAGGAAAACCAAAGATCACTCTCAGCCTAGGGATAAACGTTAGCAAGGATCTATGTGTTCTGTAGGTTTCCCTGCTGTGAAATAAAAGCAGCAGAGATATTTTTTTACTGTAATAGAGAAACCATAGATGTAAGCGGTGCAGCTTTATGTGTTAAGAGGAAGGAATGTGCGTGTGAAAGCAGATGTCCAAGGGAGGCCGGGTACATGCTGCCTCGGGCTGGTGATGGACAACTTCAGTGGAAAACGACGGGGCACCCCTTTAGTCCTCTACAGTAAAACAACGCAAAACGCTTTTTATTTCCAGTCATTTGGATGAACCCCCTGACACTGCCCAACTGTGATAAAATCCAGTTCACTTTATTATTCAACATCAGGCCCAAATCTTGAGCATTCTTTACACTATTTTTAATGCTCCTTAGTTGTTCATTTCCTATCCTTGAAGGATATGTAGATCCCCCATGCATAAGGTTGCTCTGTTTCAGTAACCAGAGGAGGATTTAATTCCTTTAGTAAACAAGGATTTAACTTTATATTCTTTTAATCTTTGTCAAAGGGTGTGCCTTCATTCAGGAATGGGAAGTATGCAGCAATTGAGGAAACTATTTACATTCCATGTCAGCGATTAAAAGAACATAAAACTGCTAATACAGGCCTTGCTGAACATACCAAACTCTCTTGTACCTGTAATAAAGTCAGATTTAGAAAATTGTAAGATGCAATCTCCACCTCTTTTACAAGTAGGACATGAAAGTACAGTAAATTAACTCTATGAGTATCTGCCTGACTAACCACATTTGGCGATGTTGAGATCTGCTCCTTAAGAAATACAGTGTTTATCAGTTACTATTTTCTAGTTACCTGTCTCTATGGTGGAGTGTTCACCAGGAGATTTGCATTCTAGAAGAGTTGTGTATGGTGTTAACAACATGAGGTTCCTCATCTTAGCAGGATCTTCTAGGTAGTATTGTAAACCACTACAATTAGCCTTGCCTGTGTTTGGGATTTGTAGCATACGAGCATACAAGTTTGGATTCTTGTAGATCCCAAACTACAGAAAAAGTTGGTCATGGTTTTGCAAAATCATTTCTCCCTTTTCTCCCGTATTACTGACTTTGATTTTCAGAAGAAATAATGGTCTGAGTGTTGCAAGTCCATGCAGAAGCTGCTTTGGTGGGTGTGTGTGTAGGTCTGTTTGTAACTTGTTTCTGTAAATAACACGGTGCATCGGTCTGTGTGACTGGTCTGTGCTCCCCAGGGCAAACAGTCTCCAGACCTCTGTGCTTTTCTGTGGAATTTGGTGGTTGCATTTCTTCTGCCTGTAGTGACAGCGTTGGGCATGTTGTCACTGGCATGGGGAGGCGAGTGGCAGCAGAGGTGAGGTGTTTGGGGACGTGCTGCTCCTCCCAGGGGGTCCTGCAGGTTCATGGAGTGAAAAATAATGCCCTGGAGAGAAATGAGAGAATGCATTTCTGCAGTGCAGAGGATGGGGAATAAGGGCTGGTTGCACCTAGGGTAGATTATGGACTCCAGAGGTTTGAGAAGGTCATCGCATATATGGAGAAGGGAGCAATGTTTTCACGCTGTGGCTCCTGCCCGTGAGTCTCCAAGGTTGCAGAGAAGATCAGCAGATGTGCATACAGACCCTGTCTCCTCCAGCCTGCTCCATCTTCCTGATGTCGGCGTGAAATATGCAGCTCAAATATCTTGAAAGCACTGATGCTGAGCATTGGAGCAGCCATTAAATCCGCATGCTTTAGGTAGAAGTAGAGCGCTAAACACAAACATCTTTTCTTGAGTAATAAGTGACAACACATATGAAGCTCTAATATGTGTGCTGTTATTTTACTGTAGTTTCATGTAAAGCATGTTAGTCCTTGGAGAATGGTGGGGGTGGAGGTGGTTGGGACCCCTAAATTACATAATTTCTGCATTGGGTCATGCAAAAAAAAAACTGGATGTGATTTTCCAAGGTTAGTAGAAACAGCTGCTTTGAGTAGTCTTGACATTAAACTCCATTTATTGAAAACCTTAGAGATTTTCCAAACCTTGAGTTATATTTCAAAACATGATTCAGCTGCATTAGGCAGCCCCAAGTGGGGACTGATGTGTTAAACCATCTGTTATCTATGGAAATATTTAATGTCAGTTTGGTGTTTTCTGATATTTAGACTCAGCAAGATGTGTTCATATGTATTGGGCAAGATGTTATAAGTTAGTTCTGGAAGAGTTACTGGTACCTAGCTTCACAGTGTAGGTTTTAAAGTCTTCCCTATGGTTTCCAGCTGTTAAGTTTACTTTTGTACATATTCATTAAATACTTAAGTGATTAATTTTTGGGCATTGCACATTCGTAATTGCAGAAACAAAATTATTTGCCGTGAATTCAATTTGTCAGTCAAGTAGAAAACCTGCTAGCGAGCTTACGTTGCAAGTACATTTCTTCCTACGATTTAGTTGCAAAATATGATTGCACTCTTGAGAACCTTAAGCTCTGTAGTACCTTAACTGTTTTAGAAACACTTGTCATATGGAGAGATTTCCAGAATCAGCAAATCATCGATCAGCTGCAAAATAAACCACCCTTCAGAGCAGCTGACTGTACTGGTGTGCATTACATCAGTAATACTGATGCACTGCTCTTTTGCGAGGGACAGTAATGTATGCACATATAAATTCCTTTAAAGTTGATTGCAGCATGTGGGTCTTAGAGGAAAGTAGGCTTACTATTGTGTAAATGAAACAAAACCCCTCTAAGATTAAATCTGAGTTGGAGAGCGGAACGGTATGTGACTACTGGCTGTTTTTCTGTAACTGGAAACATTTTACACTCTGTCAGAAATAGGTCTGTATACAGCAAAGTACTTAAGTGTTCTTTTAACTTTAAACATATGAGTAATCCAGGTAAAGTCAGTGGAATTACTTATTTTCAAAATTAATTTCATGCTTAAATGGTTTGCTGACAAAGGTCATAATTATGATGTCAAAGAAATATAACTTTGAACAGATGTTAGCGAGCTTTTTCAACGGTGATTCCTGTATATACCTGAGTCTATGGCAGATAAAGATAAAAAGCTGAGATAAGTCAATAAGTCGAAGCTGGTGAAGGGCCTGGAGCACAAGTCTGATGAGGAGCGGCTGAGGGAACTGGGGCTGTTTAGCCTGGAGAAGAGGAGGCTGAGGGGAGACCTCATCGCGCTCTACAACTGCCTGAAAGGAGGTTGTAGCGAGGTGGGGGTTGGTCTCTTCTTCCAAGTAACCAGCGATAGGACGAGAGGAAATGGCCTCAAATTGCGCCAAGGGAGGTTTAGATTGGACATGAGGAAAAATTTCTTTACCGAAAGAGTGGTCAGGCCTTGGAACAGGCTGCCCAGGGAAGTGGTGGAGTCACCATCCCTGGAAGTATTTAAAAGACATGTAGATGTGGTGCTTAGGGACATGGTTTAGTGGGCATGGTGGTGTTGGGTTGATGGTTGGACTCGATGATCTTGGAGGTCTTTTCCAACCTTAATGATTCTATGATTCTATGAGAGCATGTGAGGGCAAGTATGGCGGTAGGATGGCTTTGCCATAAGGACATCAGCATCGGCAGGATCTCAGGTGTGTCCTGGACGGTTTGCTTCTGGTGGGAATTCGTTGACCAGCTTTGCAGAGGGAGCAGTGGGGGTGGATCAGTGCGGTTGTGGCTGACGGGCCATTGGCAGTGTCCAGGGGAACATGGAAATGGAAAGAAAAAGCTCAAGTAGTTTAGAGAAGCGGAGTTCACTATTCATTTCCCCATAACTTTATGATCTTTTTCATCAGGTTTATAACACAGCCTTTAACAAAGCAATATAAAAAAGGGAATATATGAGGTTAGATTGCTGCCTTTTATTCCCTCAGTAAAAATTCTTCTATTTTATCAGGAGGCAAAACCCACCCCAGGCCATGGTGTAAGTCTCCACCTTATCCTTTAAATCCCCTAGAATCCCAGAGATCTCCAGAAGTTTAGAGCATCTCTGACTGTCCCCCTTGCATGTTTACCACTTCTACATAGAGACACAGTACCAGGGATGTATTGGGAGGTAATGGTCCTGTATTGGAGGCCACTTTGAAAGCTTAGCTCCAGGACAGAGGAGGTTCCAACAGTATTCCTTCCGACTGAAAAGTAGGCAATAGGCATCTTCATCCATAGTACTAATGTGACCTGTTCCAATGAGGCCTTAGTGTTCAGAAATCTTTTGTATTCTTTTTTGGTTAAAAGAAAAGAAGTAGTTCTCTCTTCTTTTCTGCCTGACCTTTCTGAATAGGAGCGCTGATTGGTGTGCAAATGACATTCTAGCTGGATTAATTTAGCAGGGAAACAACCCATTTCTAGTGCCAAAGAAAATAGCTGACAAAATTTGTTAATGAATTGACATGCTTATATACAATCAATGGCTTGAAATATAGATAGAGGAA